CCAGCTGGCTCCCACCCATGCACTAGGCCTCTATCCTATCTAATAAAAGAGTAATATGCAGATTGACCATCACTCCAACACACAAGATGGCTGCCCCATGTGGTCAAAGATCCTGCCCCCATGTGGACCCAAGATGGCCACCACAAGATGGCCAGCAGGAGAGGGAAGTTGAAAGGGACCTGGCCTACAAGGGAGGGCAGTTGTGGGCGATCAGGCAAGCAGGGGATGGCAGTTGGGCAGGACCCAGACCTGCAGGGGAGAGCAGTTGAGGGCAAACTGGCTGGCAGGGGAACAGTTAGGCATCAATCAGGCTGGCAGCAGAGTGGTTAGGAGGTGATCAGACTGGCAGGCAGAAGCAGTTAGGGGCAATCAGGAAGGCAGGCAGGCGAGCAGTTGGGAGCCAGTAATCCTGGATTGTGAGAGCAATATCCGACTGCCCATTTAGGCCCAATCCCACAAGGATTGGGCCTAAATGGGCAGTCAGACATTCCTTGAGGGGTCCCAGATTGGAGAGGGTGCAGGCTGGGCTGAGGGACATGCCCCCCTCTGTGCACAAATTTAATGCACTGGGTCTCTTAAAAAAAAAAAAAAAAAAAAAAATATATATATATATATATATATATATATATATATATATATATATATATATATATATATATATAAATTTAATTGATTTCAGAGAGGGAGAGGGAGATAGAGATAGAAACATCAATCATTGATTGGCTGCCCCCTGCATGCCCCCTACTGGAGATCAAACCCGGAATCCAAGCATGTGCCCTTGACTAGAATAGAATCGGGGAACCTTCAGTCAGCAGGCCTATGCTCTACCCACTAAGCCAAACCAGCTGGGGCCAGAACATCTTTTCTTTAGGGGTAGGAAAGCGGAAGGGTTTTTATCATGTAGATTGTCTTGCTACTTCTTTCTACTTACTGGTTAATTAGTCATATTTATTTGGTTCTTGATCAGAAAATTTCAGCCTGATTAAGGTTAATTAAGATTACATTTCTGGGAGAGGTTAAAACTGCAATTAGATCAGGTATTAAATCTAGGTTTGGCATCATGGGCTTTTAGCACTAATAATGCCATTTGGGACCTGCAGTTTTCTTTTTAATATATATCTTTCTTGTAACTCACAGTATCACAGATGTCCTATGTGCTGCGGATAGCTGTGAAGGAGGAACTGACTTTTTAAGAACTAGAGAGGATGGAGACTGATTTCTGGACTAGAGATGAGAATTGAAGGGAACCTGAGGTTGCTTGAAGCTTCATGGGTGTGAAATGTTTTGATTTCTTCTTCTCTCAGCTGTAGGGTCTTTCAAGGAAGACAGAGTAAACTTCACAGGTTGACTGTGTGGGATGTAAGGAGATATAAAGAGTTATAACTAGCCCGGCGTGTGTTGCTCAATGGTTGAGAGTCGACCTATGAACCAGGAGATCACGGTTCAATTCTGGTCAGGGCACAGGCCGGGTTCTGGGCTCGATCCCCAGTAGGGGGCGTGCTGGAGGCAGCTGATCAATGATCCTCTCACATCATTCATGTTTCTATTTCTCTCTCTCCCCCTCTCCCTTCCTCTCTGAAATCAATAAAAACATAAAAAAAAAAAAAAAAAAGTTGACGCCAGATGGTCAGTTCCTCAAAAAAGCCTGCCTGGAAAATTGGTTTCTTCTCACACCTGGAAGGAAATGCCAGGGGTTGATCCAGGAACCCAGAAACAGTGACTGACTTCAGTTAATGAGTAAGAAGGGAAGCCTGGGCTGCTGATCCCAAGAGCATGAGCCTCAGGCCTCTGAGGAAATTGACTTGTCTTATGAGACAGGCAGATTGGTCTCCTTTTTGTCAATCACAATGATAGCTAGCCTTCACCTAGCACTGACTATGCACTAGTCACTCTTCTAAGCATATAACGTGCATTATTTCAGTTAATTCTCACTGAATTTTATAAAGTAATAACTATTATACCCATTTTACAGGTAAGAAATTGAGGCACGGGAGAAATGAGAAACTACTTGAGAGGGCAGGGCGGGGAGAGGCTAACTCCTGACTCCATTTTGTACTGTGGGGCAGGGCGGAGCCATCCTCCATTTTGTAACTGGCCCTCACCCAACCAATCAGGATCAGCCAAAGCAGTGACATCACCACCCCTATAAAACCCTTTGACCTGTCGAAGTTCAGCCTCTACTCTGCCATGCTGTCGGCATGAGTGGGACAGAGCCCATGCTGGCATGGAATTCAGACTTTCTACAATTGCATCGGACTCGGCTTCCTGGTGGTCCTTGGGGAAGTCTGGGTGTAACATACTCAAGGTTGCTTTGTTTGTGAGCAGCAGAACCATGTCTTGAACCAAATGTGCTATTTCTAAAGCCTGTGTGCTTAACCTTCCTTACCCCATACGGGGTGGCACCTGAAGATTGCTCTCTATCCTCATCTCTTTTATAGGATTTCCACAGACTTCCACACACCAGGGTAAACCCTGTTTTGTTCCATCTGAACAGTCTAGTTTCAGGATCCAGTCTAGGCAAAAGAACTCTTCCCAGTGAGCCTTAACTTTACCCAATGGTCTAGATTCTAGAATAAGGGTTTTGGAGCTCTGTGCCACAGGTGCTCTGGTTAATTAATCCTATTTATTCTAACAGGAGCCACGGTTTTTGTGGTGGGCTGAATTTATGGGGGGAAACTTAGTTTATTGATAGGTGTTGCTGGATTTCCAGGGGAACAATGGGATCTCCTGTTGGAGGCAGAGCTGCCAGGGCTGCCCCTGGAATCCTGATTTCCAGCCATGGCACTCGGATTTCCCTCTTAGTAGGGGGGGGGGGGGGGGGGGGAGGGTGCAGAGGAAGGAAAAAGTCCAGTCCTCCCACTCAGAATTCCAAGGCTCTTCTCCCTTCATGGGGGAACTGGGCTCAAGGACGTAAATCTTGTGGACGAAAGGAGCCACATGCTAACCTGACAAGCTCAGGGGAGCCGTGCGTGGCAGCCTTGCAAACTCAGAGACCTAAAGTTACCATAAAAGATGGTCTAAAAATTAAATATTTAACTATAAACAGGTTATAGTGGGCAGTCAAGTCCTAGGCTGATATTTTTCTTGACAAAGATCAAATTAGATCTTTCCTGAGCTTATTTGCCTTTTTGGCTCTAAGATAACATACCCTTGAAATGTCTGGGAAACTTGTAACTTCCCTTTTTCTGGAGCCCCCTGGGGCACAACCAGCTGTGGTGGAAGCCAGGACAGATGCCTCAAATTCCTTCATTATCATGTTAATTGTTCCTGAGCCCACCTAAGTATGTGTCCATCATTTTACTTTATCCAATCCCAGGGGTTTCCCACTGCTTTGCTTTATCCCACCTCCTTAAACTATCACCAATGAAGTTCACGTAATTCACCTATGTCCCTTTCCTTTGATATATCAATTCATCGAGGTTCTGCTTCCCAGCATATGTCGACAGTTTGGCTCAAACTCACAAAAATTCTTTACAGGTTTCAATGCTCGTTTGTTTGTTTTACGTTAACCATCTCAAGGCTGACGGCTGCATTCCAATTTGGATGAGCAAAGGCTTAGGAGTCACCTTTCATCGCACCTCAGTGTAGTTTAGAATTAGAATTAAGGCAAAGAAAACCTGTGTGAAGTCTTAATGTGGGTTCAGAATTTAAACACAGGCTCGACCATTTCCGAGTACAGGTCTGTCTTTCCCTAAATATTTCCCAGAGGACAGGGCTCCATGAGATTTCTAGATATGGCTCAGTTATCTAGTTACTGGAAACGGGATCTAGCCTAGGGCCAGAGGGCAGTGGGGATGTGGGGGTGGGTGGGTGTTAACTTTGTGCAGGAGAAGTTGTACAGCACGAGTCCAGGTGAATTTTAGAGAACCTTCATTAAAGCTGGGGACAGGGAAACAAGAGAGGGCCGGGGAAAGGTCGACGAGAGGAAGACGACCATCCAGGGAAGTGGGCGTAAGGCAGAGTCTTGACCTCCAGAAAGGTGAGTTTCAGGAGAGAGGGTATTCCGGGAGCCAAGGAGCGCACGCGGGTAGAGCCTGGGAAATGGTCCAGCTCTCCGGGCGTCAGGGAGGACTCGGCAGGACCAGGACGATGGCCCCACCCACGCCCTACGGAGCGGGTGGGGAACCTAGCGGTTCGGGCGCGCAGGTAGCCGCAGGGAGGAGGCACGCCGAAACCCAGACACCTGACGCACGCCCGTCCCCGCCCCTCCCAGGTAGCCCCGCCCACTCTCGGGGCGGGAAGCCAGGGGGAGCTGGCCTATCAGCACTGCCGAGCCCAGCGCAGTCTCCTTTTCATTGGTGAGCGACCGAGTGACGTCATGTCCCCCGGCTGGGCGGAGGAAGAGGGCGCCGAGATGATTGGCTGGCGGCGGGGCGGCGGGCGGTGGGGCAACCTGGCGAGTCAGGGCTTGGAACCCGCGCCGCGCTCTCCCTCTCCCCGTTCCGCAGCCGCGGGGTGGCCACAGAGGTCGGGGAGTCGGCGGGGCGGAAACCTGGATTTGGTCCCAAGCGCTGCGGGGTTGACCGGAAGTGATCTTGGGGCTGACCGGAAGCGAGGCCTTGGAGGGGCCAGGGAGCGCGGGTCCCGGGAGGGAGGGGGTTCCTAAGCCGTAGGGGGCGGGGGGGAAAGGTGCGACAGGGACCTGGGAGCGCCGGCGGGGCGGCGGGGCGCTGCTGCTGTTCAGGAGGCAGCGAGTGACCCCCACGCGCCCAAGGGAGAGCCCCGAGAGGAGGAGGGTGGGAGTTCAGGGCTGCCTCTGGGCAGTCTGGAATACAGAACAGAAGGGCCTGAGGGGATTTGGAAAGTCGGGGCGCCCCAGAACAAGGAGCCGAGGGCAGGGGAGAATCCGTGCGGGTCGGGCTCAAGGGTAGCTGGTGGGTACTGCGTGGGAAATCTTGGCTTGGAGTTTCCTACAGTCCTCGCCCCCGTTGGATAGAACCACACACACTGCTCACCTTTGTGCAAGCAACAGTGTCTGCTGGGGCCAGGAAGGAGCCAGGATGGCTTGGGCTCTGAAACTGCCGCTGGCCGATGAAGTGATCGAATCCGGGCTGGTGCAGGACTTTGATGCTAGCCTGTCCGGGATCGGCCAGGAGCTGGGTGCTGGTGCCTATAGCATGAGGTGAGTGAGATTCCCCCAGACCCCGCACCTTCTGAATAACAAAGGCAGGATAGAGAGCAGAGCTGGGGGGTGGGGAGGGGGGGGTCGGGAGTGGGCAGAGTTAAAGAAGTTGTCTGCAGTTAGGGGAAAGGGTGTCTTTTGTTGCTTTGAGTTTGAGTATGGTGGGAGAAATGGAACCAGAGATTGTGGGCAGGGTCAAGTCTGCAGGATCAGTAGGAGAAGGAAGCATAGCAACCAGATAAATGTTGAGAGGATGTTGTGCCAGTGTGGGAGACTTGGGAGGGTGGTGGTGATGGTGGTGGTGGTGGTGGTGGAGGTGGTGTGTGTGTATGTGTGTATTGAGCATGTGAGGAATGTCCAGGGAGTTCGGGCGTTGGAAACTGGCTCTTAATGATGAATATTGCTTGACTGTTGGAAGGAAATGTGAGACCTTGGTGAAGAAGTCCACACATCTGTATCTTAGCCTGCTTTTAATGCTTTGCTTAATTCCAGGGACTTTTGAAACATAGTTGTGAAGTGAAAAAGTGTCAAAGAGGACTCTTAGATGCTTTTAGACTTTAATGTATCAAACCAAATGTTGATAATAAAGTACCCTTTGGAAGCAACATTACTTTCCCATGTAATTCATTTGCAAGCATTTACCTACTTCATTCTCCCAGGATGGTTTGTTTCGTGTTTAAGATTTGCAAGAATCATGTCTGGAAATGTTGAAACATCTGCAACTTAGAGTTAGATAGAATGTAATTGGGTTTCCAAATTATTATAAGCTTAATCTAAATAAGTAAGCCAAAAGAAACTTTGTTTTTATTGAATTTATTGCGGTGACCTTGGTTAATAAAATTATATAGGTTTCAGGTGTACAATTCTTTAATATGTCATCTGTATATTGTATGTTTATCACCCCAAGTCAAGTCTCCTATCACCATTTATCCCCCATTTACACACACACACACACACACACACCCTCCCTTTCCCTCTGGGAATCACCATACTGTTGTCTGACTAGAAAGGCATTTTTTGTTGTTGTGTGCTTTTTTGCTTAATTCCTTCACCTTTTCCACCCAGCCCTCCACCCCCTCCCCTCAAAGGGACTTTAGAATTTAACACCTTAATTGGGTTTAGGAGGTTATAGAGAAAAGATGCTTTTTATGGGAAAGGTGGATAAATTTTGCATTCTGATAGTGAGATCCTTTGAGAGTTACATAATGTAAACTTCCTTTCTTTATCCCTATGAAACCAAATTGGACTTTCCTCACTAAAGTAAAATTATGAGTTAGAATTTAGTAAATACTTCACCTTCAGGACTTTTTGCTTAGTTAGAACAATAAAAGCTATCTGTGTATACATATATTTGTGACTTTCAAGGAAATTTGAGTTCTATCATGCAATGCTCTTAGTTTTGAGAAATTTAAAAAAAATATGTTTATTGATTTCAGAGAGGAAGGAAGAGAGAGAGAGAGAGAGAGAGAGAGAGTGAGAGAGAGAGACATCAATGAGAGAGTATCATTGATCGGCTGCCTTCTGCATGCCCCCTACTGGGGTTTGAACCCGCAACCCGGGCATGTGCCCTTGTCCAGAACCGAACCTGGGACCCTTCAGTATGCAGGCCAATGCTCTATCCACTGAGCCAAACAGGCTAGGGCTGTCATGAGAAATTTAACTCTAGTTTTGCCTGTCCTTGTTTACATAAGTCTGACCTTAAAAATAGTGATTAAGTTGGTCTGAAAGTAAATGTCTGGACCCTCAGCTTGCCTGTTGGTATCTGATATAATATTAGACAATTTATGCTATTGTCCATTTAAAGATTACCACAGCAAAAGTTTGGTTCTTGTCTAGGTTGAGTTGAAGATGGAGATAACTAAACATAACTATATTGTTATAAAAATAGTTAACATTGTTAACAAACATTTGCAAATCCACTATGGACTCCCTCTGCTACATGACCTTACTTGATGAGTGCTTTCTATCACTGTGAGTGGTCTTCACAGGTATTATAGTAAGAATGGCTTGCATATGTATACATTTAGAATTTTTTCAATATCAAATTTACTGGAGTTTTCAACCATCATTTTATTTTTATAATGTACTACATTTTTATTTATTTATTTTCTTTGCTTTTTTTCATGCATTTTGCTCTTGTCACTATTTTCTTTGTTCTTGCATACATTAAATTCCATTTGCATTAATTTGTGTTACTTAGATATTAGTTCTCAAACTTGGGTATTCATGGGAATCATCTGGAGTACTTATCAAAAATGGTTTCCAAAGTCCCACTTTGGTGATTGTCTGGGACAAAACAAGTTCATAGATGATTTTGATGTGAGTAGTTTAGGGACCACATTTCAAGAAACACTGACCAGAGGAGTTTTTATGGACGGAGGTCATGGCTTTTTGCTCTTCCTGTTTCTCCTTTTAATTAGACCTTGTGATTGCTTTTCCTACACCTTCATTAGGGAAAATGTTTTCTTTGACAAGCAATTTGCTCTGTAAAATTCTTTCCCTAATATATTTGTTTTATACTAGTTTGTTTAATTTAATGATTTTGCTACAAATTTATTGATTTATATTTTATGAAGATTCATTTTAGCTGGAGTCTTCTCTCATTTTTGATCTGCCATTCTATTCAGAAATATTCTTTTCATAAATAGTCCTTTAATAGTCTCCTTACTTTTTTTCTTACATTTAATACATGGCACAGCCGAAACCGGTTTGGCTCAGTGGTAGAGCATCGGTCTGCAGACTGAAAGGTCCCGGGTTTGATTCCGGTCAAGGGCATGTACATTGGTTGCGGGCACATTTCCAGTAGGGAGTGGGCAAGAGGCAGCTGGTCGATGTTTCTCTCTCATCGACGTTTCTAGCTCTCCATCTCTGTAAAAAATCAATTATATATATATATATATATATATATATATATATATATATATATATATATATTTAAAGACCTTTCCCCTTTAAAAAAAAAAAAAAAAACATGGCACAGACTTTATAGTTAAAGTAAAGGAGAGTTTCTGAAAACATGCTGAAAGAAGCCAGTCACAAAAACCGCTTATGCAAAGTGTCCCCTCGGGAGTTCAACCGACCCGGTCAATTACTCAGTATGACACGCACTGGCCACCAGGGGGCAGTGTGGAATTAAGGAAGGCCCCCGCTAGCAGCCAGCAGCCTCTAGGGGCCCTGCCCATGCACACATTCTCTTAGATAAAAAAAAAAAGGTGTGGGTGTGCTCCCGAGAGGGAGAGTGCTTCCAAGCTGTTTACACAGCATCTGAACTATTCCCACTATTCAAGGTTTCTGTTTCTCTACATCCTCGCCGTTTGTTTGTTTGTTTGTTTGTTTCTTTCTTTCTTTCTTTTTTTTTTTTTTTTTTTTTTTTAAATTAAAGCTATCCTAGTGAGTGTGAAGTAATATCTCATTGTGGTTTTGTTTTGCATTTCCTTAATGGGCATGTTGTTGAACATCATTTTATGTGCTTGTTGATCATTTGTATATCTTTGGAGAAGTGTTTATTCAAGTTCCTTGCACAGATTTAAATTGGATTGTCTTCTTTTTGTTGCTGAGTTGTAAGAGTTATTTTTTATATATATATTCTAGGAACTAGGTCATTATCAGATAAATGGTTTGCAGATATTTTCTCCCATTACATAGGTTGTCTTTTCACAAATTCTCTTACATAAAATCAGGAACTTAATACCAGTACAATACTATAAACTATTGATTTACAAAAGTGTTTAATTTTGATGAAGTCCAGTTTACCTATGTTTTCTTTTGTTATTCATGCTTTTGATTTCAACTTTAAGAATCTATTGCCATGCTGAAACCGGTTTGGCTCAGTGGATAGAGCGTCGGTCTGCGGACTGAAGGTCCCAGGTTCGATTCCAGTCAAGGGCATGTACATTGGTTGTGGGCACATCTCCGGTGAGGGGTGTTTAGGAGGCATCTGGTCGATGTTTCTCTCTCATTGATATTTCTAGCTCTCTATTCCTCTCCCTTCCTCTCTGTAAAATTCAATAAATTATATATTTTTTTAAAAAAAGAATTTATCACCAAATCAAAAGTCATGAAGTTTTACTCAGTGGTTTCTTCTGAGAGTCTTATATTTAGGTAAATTTTCATATATGGAGTGAGGTAGGGATTCAACTTCATTTGTTTGCATGTGGATATCCAGTTGTCCTATCCACCATTTGTTCATTTCTTTCCCCATTGAATTTTCTTGGCACCCTTGTGGAAATCAAGTGGCCATAGATATAAAGATTTGTTTGTGAACTCTTAGTTCTATTCTGTTGGTTGAAATGTCTATGTTTTTGCTAGTACCACACAGTTTTGATTACTGTACCTTTGAAATAAGTTCTGAAATTTGGAAGTTTGAGTCCCCCTACTTTGTTTTTCAATATTGTTGATGAAATTTTAACTCCAACTAATGTACTTTTTTTTTTAATCCAGAACTTTTGCCTGGTTCCATTTAATTTTTTCTTTTTATTGCCATTCTTTACTTAATCATACATTGCTCTTCTGATTTCCTTTAGTTATTTGTCCATGGTTTCCTTCAGTTCTCTGAGCATGTTTAAGACAGCTAATTTAGTGGTTCTCTATGGAGTGTGCCTGCTCCTTTCCCCACTCTCTTCCCCCCTTGCCTTTCTCTTTCTTCCGAGCTCCAAAGACCCTTCTTTTGCCTCTGTAACTTGTTTCCTGAGCCCATTTCTTCTATGGCTGACTTCTACCTCTGTGACTTTCTAAATAAACTCTCTTCTATAGTTTGGGGAGGGAGGAAAGACAGTTAATTTAAAGTCTTTGAATAGTAAATCTAGTATCTGGGCTTGCTCAGGGATGGTTTCTGTCAATTTTTTTTTCTCCTCTGTGAATGGACCATACTTTCCTGTGTCTTTATATGTGTCATATTTTTTATTGTTGAGAACTGCATTTTGAGTATTATAATGTGGTAACATTGGAAATGAGATTTTACTACCTCCCTAGACTTTACAGTTGTTACTTGGTGACCTCCT